ATTCCTTGCACTATTGGGGATTCTTACTTTGAAAAGGCATTGTGTGATTTAGGTGCAAGCGTTAATTTGATGCATTTTTCAGGTTTTAGGAAATTAGGATTAGGTGAGGTAAAAGCAACCACAGTGTCACTTCAACTAGTTGATCGATCCATTAAATATTCGAGAGGTATTGTAGAAGATGTATTGGTCAAGGTTGACAAGTTTATTTTTCCCGCAGATTTCATAGTTCTTGATATGGAGGAAGATTTTGAGGTACTACTTATCTTAGGTCAACATTTTCTATTAACAGGAAAAGCTCTTCTTGATGTACAACAAGGGAAGTTGATTCTTAGAGTTCAAGATGATCTTGTTTCCTTTAATGTTTTTAAAGCAATGAAATATCCCTTTGATGATAATTATTGTTATAGAGTTAAGATAGTTGACAAGTTGGTGAATAACGTTTTTCAAGAAAATATTTTTAAAGACCCACTTGAGACATGTCTGGTTTGACCAAGAGACAAAGAAATGGAGAAGGAGAGATAAGAGAGTACGCAAATTTCATGGAGACAAATCCACCATATTCAAGGCAAAAGACAACAAAATTTGAGGACTTGGGATAATACACAACAAAGTAAACCATTAATTGAAAAACCTCCGATTCTTGAACTCAAACCCTAACCCTCTCATTTAAAATATGCTTATTTAGGTGGAGTTTCTTCTTTGTCAGTAATTATATCTTATTCTTTAACAAGTTTGATGGAGGAGAAACTGATAAGAGTGTTGAGAGAGCAAAATGGTGCAATTGGATGAAAAGTAGCTGGCGTCAAGGGAATTAGCCGTTCACTTTGCATGCACAAAATATTGTTTGAGAAACAACAGGGGATGAAAAAGAGCATTGCCATATATAAAGGGAAAGTTCCTAGGATCCCCAACCCTTTTTTTTTTATAAAGAGAGATGCTTATTCCTTCTATAACGTAGTAAAGTGTGGCAAAACTCTTTTAAATAGTGTCACAGTCCCAAGGTATCTACTTTGGGCTTAGACCAGTTAATAATCAATTAAGAAATTGTTATGTGACTATTCTAAATCCACTGTGAGATTAACAGCTTGTTTTGGCTAAAAAAACAAATAGTAAATGATTAGAAATTATTGTGGGATCCACTCCTTCAACAATTTGTGACTCATAACATACTGTTATTCTCACAGTAGCCCAAAGACTATTATGCTAGTAAAGCCCTAATCCATTAAGTTGATTCCTTATGCGATACAAGAAAATGTGGTGTAATAATGGTAGTAGGAATGCAGGAAAATTAGTCTTTCTACAAAAAAGGATAGAGAGGAAATTACATTGGCCCCTATTATGTATTCCCTCAGTTACTCCTTTTTTCTTCCTACTCTCTCTCTCATGATCATCATATAACCGAGCTGAGTCGGCGCTTTCTAATGCTTGAGCTCGAACCCAACTCAATCAAGATCATTCATGACTCGGTACTCAATTTGGGCTCGATCGAGCTTGACTCGCTTAAATTTTTTCAAGGGTCGAGCTCGACTTGGTTGTGTAGGTATATAGTTAGGATAAGGACGCTAAAAGTGTCATAACTTCATACTATGCTCACTTAAGTGCCATAACTTTTTTTTCGACCACTTTAGTTTTATGACTTCTAAAAAAATGTTCACTTAAGTGCCACAACTTTCAATTGAGCACTCGAATACCATAACTTTTTTAAAAGTTCACCAAAGTGCTAGAAACCCGACATGGTATAGCACTTGTAGCGTCCTTTACCCATTTTTAGTCTAAACTCAAGCCCGAGCTCAAGTTCTCAAATTTGAAAATGCAATGAAGTAGCAAGAAATTCATTTAGGGAAGCGAAATTTTTAACATACTTCAATTATTATTTTACTAGCTTTTGCTATAAATATGTTCATGAAATTGAAACAGCAATGACAATTTGTTATCAACATAGACTTATAGAAATAGTATTATCAATTCGTGTTATGCCACTATTTATATGGGTTATTTGTGTTATTTCTTGCAAGAGTAAAGTGTTTCAGTATGATGACAAATTATTCTACCGATAAAAATGAATCGACATATCTCAAGTCGTGTCAGTTTTAGCCGCATGCTCATTTATCATATCAAACTCAGTTTTTTTTTTCGGGGCAAATTAATTAAACCGTTTCTACGTATCAAACCAATAATACTGTAAAGTAATTATAATTTTTTTGACTGACTTTTTATAAATGAAAAAAAATACTGTATACAATAAAAAGAGAGAAAAAAAAGAGTCGGCGTGCCATTCAAGAAGAATTTTTGTATATGGATACATTATTTTTTCATTTATAAAAGTCCGTCAAAAATAAAAGTGTGTCAGATTGTAGAGTTAGAGATAGTTGGTCCAGGAATAAGAACTTACAAATGACAATCCAAGTTCCGCAATTGACATAACCCTTTGAATTAATACCTACCTCCTGAGTCTCGTTTAGTTAATAAAAAGCAACATTTATTACTATCTATAAGCCTTTCTGAATGCATTAATGTCCAGATTGTTGGCTTTAATTAGGTTTGATATTCTAGATTTGAAATTTAAAACCTTGTTGGTTTGATTAACTCCAAAAAAGAACCATGACACTAAACTTGATTTTTAAAAATCAGGGTAGATTACGTAACTCCCCTTTCATCATTACGACAGCATGAGCTTCAGTACTTGTACTCCAGTATATAACTTATTCGATTCTAGTAATACAATATTTTTCTTTGAATAATATATCTAAAATGCGTTTGTTCTAAAAGCAAATTATTAGATAGTGATGGTTGCATGAATATTTTCACACTCTGTTAATGATTATTTGGAGGCCGTTTGGTACAAATTTTCCCTAGCAGCTTCAACTACGTACGTAAAGCGGTGCCGCAACTTTCAAAATTATTTGCCAAACACCTTCATAGCTGCAGCACCTCAAAAGTTACCTCATTATAAGTATTATCAATTTTATAACTTACGTCACTTCACGGCACGGTGACAACGCGCACAACTAAATTTCAGCCACAACTATACCTAATGTGCTCATTTCGGTAGGCTATTAAAGCTATCCCATACGAATGCATCGAGAAACTCAGTACACGAATTTAGGGCCCGTTTGGTTTAGCATTTTGAAGGGGCTTTCGGCCTCAAAAGCCCCTTGGCCAAATGCTAAACCGTTTGGTTCAGTTTTTCGAATCCGAAAAGCCGAAAGCTAGCATTTGGAATGCTTTGGAATGCTGAAGCCTATTTTTCTCTTCCCAAATTGCCCTCACTCAAATTTCAATATTCCGATTTTGCCCCTGTTACTGTTTATCTTCCTCACCGCTAGGGTGGCTGGCGAGGGCGGATCTGGCCGGCGAAGGGCCGGCGAGGGCGGATCTGGGCGGCGAAGGGCCGGCGAGGTCGCCCGACCCAGGCGACGACCGCCTGGGGTCGGGCGACCGTCGCCTGAGGTCACGCGACCCAAGCGACGGCGCCTGGGCGGTTGCCCATCCCCAGGCGGCCGTCGCCTGGGTCGGGCGACCTCGCCGGCCCTTTGCCGGCCAGATCCACCCTTGTCGGCCCTTCGCCGGCCACCCTCGCCGGTGAAGAAGATGAACAGTATAGGGGCAAAATCGGAATATTAAAAATAAAAGTTGTCAAAGCTCTTTGCAAAAAAAAATTTACTAAACACTACTTAGGCCAAAGTAGCTTTACAAATTTTTTTTTACCAAACACCACTTGCATTTTTCCAAGTGACTTTCACCTAAAGGTATTTGCATTTTCCCAAATAGCATTTGAAAAGCCGAACCAAACGGGCCCTTAGTATACGAGTATTAATGGCTGTAGCATATTCTAATTGGTCGGTCCACTTGTAAGATTTTGTAGAATCATTGCTAACTGTTTTAAAAGTTATAAGCCATTAGATAAATGTGTGATTTAATTTTTAAATATTCTAACACTCTCGCTCGTACGTAGGCTGAACTTTGACCTAAGCCTAATGCATGAAAATATATAATTTGAGAAGCAAGTAGGGGTTTTGGAAAGATTTGAACTTAAAACATCTTGTTCTGATATCATGTGAAAAATTTTATGGGACTATTTCCAATCATTATAATAATTTAAACTGTTAGATAAAGACGTAGTTTTATTCGTTAAAAATTCCAACACTACTCATTACATGTCAAAAGCAAGGGCTCGATTTTGGCAGTAGGTCCCATTCAACATCAGAAGCACACCGGCATGCCACGTGTACAGCCTCACATATTTGAGAGCTTGAGGGTAATCTCTCTATATAGATCAATATTATCGCAATCATTGATCGTGTGGGTCCATTATGAAATTTAAATTATTCAATGATTATGATCATGTTGGTCTACGTAGACCGAGTGTATCTAATTTTTTTCACTCATTATATAAGTTCTCTTCCGGGCATGTTTCTCTGTGTGTGTTAGTCTGTCAGAGAGAGAGAGAGAGAGAGAGAGAGAGAGAGAGAGAGAGAGATGGAAGGTCAAGAAAGGAGCAGCGTCCATGGGTATCGCGGACATGCAAAATCTGGCCCTGGTAATACCATTTCACGCTCCCCATATCGACATATATTTGCCCCTTCTCCTTTCCCTTCATCACTTGCATGCATTTTGCTTTTGTTTTAGGAAAAATCGAGAAGGGTCACTCCTAGATTCCCCTTCTTGCGGTTCTTTTATCCCGTATTATTTCTTTATATGAATTTTTTTCGCCCTTCTCCTCATGATCCGCAAAACCACTTCCAGTTGCTAAGCGAGCATGATGTCATGATCGTCACGAGCTTCGGAGTTGTCTCTTCTTTTTGTCATGGTCGTCTTCTTCTGCTGGACCTTTTGCGGTTGTGGTGACGTTTGGTCGACGTCCATCTGTATGTCTTGTTTACGTAGGAACGATGTGCCTCCACTTCGAGTGACAAGTACTTTAAAGTCCTGCGAAAAATGGGTCGTACGAAGCAGTGTCGCATTCAACCAACGTCGATATCGATGGTAGCTGGAATCAGATGGTTTTTGGGGGTGTTGGGGGTCCTGATTTCGATGGCATGGCGTGCATGCAAGCAATGGAAGTCTGTCAAAGTATGTTTAAACCCCATAGTTAATCTCAACGGCCAAACCAAAGCCATCTTTTCCTGAACATTTCCTTTGTAAATTTCATCTCTCTCTCTCTCTCTCTCTCTCTCTCTCTCTCTCTCTCTCTCTCTCTCTCTCTCTCTCGCACGCGCACACATACAAAAGATTCATTTCGATTCCATCTTGGGTTTTCTCTTGGGGTGTTCGGTAAGGAGAAATAGAGAGGAGCCTTGCATGCGGGAGAGTCGGACAGAAGCATAAATGCCAACAACTAGTACACATGAGAAATGCCTTGAGAAGTGGAAAAGAGACTTGCCCCCTCCGCCCTTTGACCTCCGCATTAACTCCTCCACTCAAAAACAAAAACAAGAAAAACGAAACGAAAAAGAAAATCTGAAACGGTAGAGGGTGGTAGCGTGGCCCCCCTCTCTTTTCTCGTTCTTCTTCTTCGTCTTCTTCTGTCTTGGGATGTTTGTCCGCTCCTACTTTACTGCCTTCCTTTGTTTGGACCAGTAAATGCCCAATTGGACTGTAAGAACGAAATAAAGAGACCTATTCTTTTGACCCATTCTTCTGATTTCGATATTCAATGGCATCTTTTCCTTTTCGGTTTCTCTCTCTCTTTTGGTTGGTTGCTTTCTTTTCATTTTTGCATGGGCAAATATCATTTCGGTCCGTCACGTAACGCCTCCTCCACTTTCACCCTTTTGCCAGCGTGTTTTCCAGTTGATGCATTGGCTTTTCCGTTTAAGTTCGTCATATCGCTCAGCTTATCATTCATGCAGTAATTTTCCCAGTTTCCTTCTCTTTTCCCTCCCTCTTCCTGGGTACGCTTCTGTTTTGAAATGGAACCAGGGAAAGATGCCCTTCTGCTTCTAGAGAGCAGGATCGTCTTTTGCATGTTCAAAAGACAAATTCAGGATTGGTGGACAGGAGAGTCATCGTCTTTGATTATGAGCACTCTTGCCCATTAATGAGTCATTCTGGTCCTCCGTTGATTAATGCTTGCATTAGCATTGGATAACGATGTGACTGATTGCGGTAACTGAATTAATGGTCCCCTCACTCGAACAGATAGCTCGTTGCCACCGGCGGATGAACCAATCGACAACAACGACCGCAGAACCACGGAGCGCCCCGGTGGTGGCCATGGCGGCAGAGGCGGGGTCAGGGAGCAGGATCGGTACATGCCAATAGCCAACGTCATACGGATCATGCGCCGCATCCTCCCCCCGCACGCCAAGATCTCCGACGACGCCAAGGAGACCATCCAGGAGTGCCTGTCGGAGTACATAAGCTTCATCACAGGGGAGGCCAATGACCGGTGCCGGCAGGAGCAGCGCAAGACCATCACCGCCGAGGACATCCTCTGGGCCATGGGGAAGCTAGGGTTCGACGACTACATCGAGCCGCTCACTATTTATCTGAACCGCAACCGTGAGATTGAGGGGGGCCGCACTAGCAATAGTTTACGCAGAGAGGCTTTCTATCTGAACAAGCGTGGTAACGCTAGTAATACTGGTGGGATGGATTATTATTATGGACCGCCGCCGCCAACGCTGGGGATGCTTCCTCCTTGCGCGCCGCCTCACCACCAAGCAGTGGGGTATGTGGATCCGTCGGCGGCAGCGGCCATGGGCACTTATTACGGGGTTGGACCGTCAACGGGAAGCAGTTCTTCCTCAGATAATTCGCCTCCACAGGCCACTTTGGCTGGCTTTGATCCATTTACTCCCTTCAAATATTAGCTTCTTGCTAGCTAGGATATTATAAGATAAGATTGGCGACCTCTAATTGGATTGACAAGCAAGTTGGTTCTTTAACTTTTATTGTCACTAGTTCTTATTTGAAGGAATTGAACTCGTGGAGTTGTTGAAAAGAAGAAACTAGCTAGGCTTGTTTAGATGCTTGTTCTCTTTTATTTCAAGATGCCTTTGTCGCTGATTAGTGGAAAAATCCCTGGTTTATCCAGTGCTCTGAGCCTCGAGTTAATTTTGATCATGGAATCATCTATCTTTGGTTTTATCCAGAGTTTATAAGCTTCCAAACACGACTCTTAACATTTAAAGAGCAATCCCCAAATATAGCATATCATCACTTAAAAGGTTTGTTATCTAGCTCTCTTTTAAAGATATCCTGAAACAAAACGAAGAGGTGAGTCGTATCCATTCGAAAACATGGAACGGGGACGTGGAAAGGTCCCGGTACAAGGCAAAACACGGATCAGTCCGTAAAAAGTAATCGCCAATTCCTTCATAAACCTTTCTTTTTCCCAAAATTGCGACCTCACTAATTAATTAGTGATGGTGAAGTGCTAACTACAAATACATTCTTAAGTATACAAAATATGCTAATCTTATGTCAACAAGGCAGTTGTTGCACTGACAATTAGATGAATGATATAAGAATCACCAGCAAACATCACTCACATGGAGTAGAAGGAAAAAGAAGAAAAGGCTACTGCCTCAACTTGGAGAAGCATCCGCTTTGCCGTGATATGCAGTCTCCAAACACTCCTTAGCTCTGTGAACCTTCGACTGAATGTAAAAGCTACCATTCTTGGCATTCTGCTCAAATAATACGTCATATTTCTGCACAAACAGAATAGGTTTACACTATTGAGAAGCAAGCAACAGCAAGAAATCAAAGCACAACAAACGAATAAAATTATCGGAGACCTTCAATATCTCTTCCCACGCGGTTTCTTCGGAGACACCGAGAATCTGTCTCGCCTCTTGTTCTGTCATGGCCTTACTTGCTCTACGGACAGCGTTCTGTACCGTTTCCTGGGCGACGCCGGTTTTTGAAGCATCTGCAATGGACGATACACTCTTTTTCAGCATCAGAGAAGAGTCTACGTTAACAAATCTGTTTTATTCAGACAGAAAGCTCCTGTATCACAGTCCACAATTTCCTATTCTCTACTATGCTTATTCTCTCTCAGTCTCGCAAAGTGATGCCAGGGGGTGCCTTCCCATTGACACAGCCACAGCTGACTTAACAAGAAAACCATTGATGCTACACCTTTTCCTTTGGGTAATACAATCTGTATTTCTCTTTTGCACAAATATAAAGACAGAATGTACTAAGAATGTACGGGACTAAACAAAATCCGTTAGAAAAAATTGCTTAAATTGCTGCATCTTCATTTTTGAAGAATGATTTTGATTAAACAGTCCATAAAAGAAGAAAAAAAGCTAGCGTCTGTTTTTTTTTTTTTTTTGGGTCTAGGACAGAAGCTAATAGGGCAATTAATGATTAATGACGAAAAACAGTTGAGATCCGAGTGAGAGAGACCCTGATCCCAAGTAGTCTCACATTGCCGTTTTGATTAAATCAACTATAAGATATAATGACGCTTAAATGAAATCAGAGACAAGAACTATAACCAGTCAGACAGAAAGCAAAACACAATTGTCCCTCCATATAGATAGAGCAATCACCTGCAGTCAGACTAGACTCAACAGAAAGACCTCCTTATTTTGCCTTTGAAAAAAGCCACACTAAAAAAAAGAGGAGATGGAGAGTAAACCAACCGCCGTCACCTACTCCTCACAATTGGTGCACTACCCCATACAGTTTCAGCTTAGAGAAAACTCTTTTGCCATGTTTAAATTTTCGATATTCTGAACCATTAGATGTTATAGTTTCCAACCAAATGCTCTAAACATAAGCATCCAACCTAAAGATATAGGTTGACTGATGCCAGACCGAGTTGCTGTCATTGCCCGATGGGATAATGTTCAAAATAACTCCTTTCTGTCACAGGGTACATTCGGCATGAAAAGAAACTCTAGTGTCTGACGGAAAATGTAGTTGATCAGACCCCGTGAACATTTACATTTGAGCTTTCAAGTTGAGCATTAGAAGATTACCGCAGATTGCATGGACCGTTTCTCACTAAGGTGGGAAGGGCAAAGCAGTCCTTTTACTATGTAGTGCTTCACTTACAACCATAACTTCAATAAGATCATTGCACTTAAATTCCCTATATACTTAGCAAAGATGGCAACAAATTAAGGCCTTCAAAATCTCAGCCATATTTTCTTGATTTTTTACTTTTAGTAAGCATTCTAGATGAGGAAGATCTTTATGATAGGGACAAATAAAAGTAGACAGCAAAAATTTGCCCACACAGAAGCTGGAAAGACTTACTTGCGAGTGCCTGACGATATGCCTGCACAAAAGCCCTGGCTAAGATACCACCACCCATCACAACCAAGTTGGCAAGAATCTTCGCTGCCTGCAGAAACAAATACGGATCAATAGCAAAGAGCACGTACACGTGATGCCCGTATAAAGAGCAAGCATTCAGTCAAATGTCAAATGCCCATTCATGTGAGCCTCCAAGTACTCGGTATTCCTTAACTTCCCCATGTTCCCTGCTCTCTCTCCCTCCATGGGCATGCTCTTCTGTGCCATGAAAGAATTTACTACAGCTAGCATCTAGAGAACCTCATCCGTCAGCAGCAGCACATGCCTATTTGGCTCCATACTGCCAAACCATTTCTTCTCTCGACCATTGCAACTTGACCAGCTAGTCGCCACTCTCATCCAAGCATTTACCAGAAAGAGAATTTGTTGTCGTATAACCAGTAAAATAGATTACCAGATAAATAACACAACCGCAAACCCGCTCGACAAACTCCTCCCTTGAAACCCAATAAACTCTGCAAGTCCCAATCGTCGCCGTTTCATGTCCCACACGGTCGGGCAGGTCATGAAACCTACTGCACCCTTAAATTACACTCGACTAATCGAAAAGCCTCCAAATTTACCTAATATATGATTAAAAGACGAGGCATACGTCTATACTTCTAACAAACACATCACGGAATCCTAACCACGCAAGGAGTGGATGAATTTTGGCAGGACCAGTACCATTTTCGGTGGCGAGCAGCGGATGCAAGGGCATGAAGCGGTCGTGCAGGAAAGAAAAATGTAAAATTGCGGCAATATTTCAGCTCCCCATGAACGTAAGATGCAATTACAGGGAAAACCCAGATGGGAACGATCGATTCGTTGAGATAACCCGACCGTTTTCAAAGAGAAAACGAATTGCGGAGGATGCCAAAAACGGACATTCGCCAGAACCACTGAAGAAAAACCAATCGACACGACACATACCATGATCGCCGCAACGGCAAGGAAGCGACTCCTCTCACGGACTAACCAGCGCTTTGCTTTGCTTCCTCCTCGCACCAACAAATCCTGCACCGTCCGGACCGGCGGCGACACGGCCGCGCGCGCAGAGAGAGAAAGAGAGAGAGGGTTACGGCGTCGTCGATTTGAGACACGAATTGAGAGGGCAAACGAAAGAAAACTACGAGGGTGTTATAGTCCTTTTCTTACTTACTCATAAGGCAAGAAAGAGACAACATATTACCAACGTGTATGTTTTTTCCCTCTTTTTTGGCCAAATCAGAACTCGGAATCGACGTGTCAATAGACACCCAACCATTTGATTAATTTAATTGTTATTACATTGTACATGTTTTATTAGTATAAGTATTTCTAAGTCATAGTTCAAGATAGCAAAATAAAACGTAAAGCACATAATTGTTTTGACATAAACAGGAGATTTCCCCTCGGCGGCTTTATTAGAATGAGGGCTATTTGTTTACCATTAAGTAAAAGCAAGAAAAGTGCTTTTCTACTTTCCCGTCGAATTCTTCAATACATATTTTTCTCATTTTTCCGACGTTTGGATTACTTAGAAAAATAAGTCAACTAAAAATGTAGTTTCTAAATTTTAGTCTAATGTTCAATTTGATCCCTAAATTTTTAATCTGTTTAATGTGGTCCCTGAACTTTTAATATATGTTCAATTTATTCTTTGAACTATATAAAAATGTTCAATGTAGTCTCAGGAACTACATTAAATATTTTTATATAATTCAGAGAATAAATTGAACATATATTAAAAGTTCAGGGACCACATTGAATAAATTAAAAGTTTAGGGATCAAATTGAACATTAGACTAAAGTTCGTGGATTACGCCGAACAAATTAATAGTTCAGGGACCAAATTGCATATTGGACCAAAGTTCAGGGACTCTTTGTATCATGATCCCTAAAATAATCCCCCATCATATATTTCAGACTCGAAAATTAGATCTCAATAACTGCTGGGTATATAATTGATGGATCTAAGTACAAGCCCGGTATGAGAGAGAAGAAGCAATGAAAAGAAAGTAGTAAGTAAATCAATCAAGTTAAGTTTATTGCTAGATGAATTTTTGTTACACAAAGAACAAGCAAATCCAACAAATAAATCGAGGGAGGAGTCCAAATCAAAATATGGTCGTACAAGCAAATGGCAAATGACTGAGATTACATCCTTACAAGATCACGAATATTAATGTGGACAAGCAAAAACACAAGCAAAGCGAAGTCTGCAAATCCGGCACCCCATTTTATGGTGGCATGCTCCGACCATTTTGTCCGTTGAGATAAGCGTTTGGAGCCAGTCTCGTCTGAACGTAATGTGAGCAGAAGTTGGAAGATGAGAATCAAAGAGGCAGACGCAATCTGGCGATCCATTTCCACTCGGTGTCTCTTGAACGATGGATCATTGAGACCCTTATTCAATGAAACTTGATGAAATTGATGATCGATTCTTGCACCCTTAGCACCCTCCTTTATTTCACTCTTGAAACTAGAATCTGCTTTGAATATGGTCAGTGAGATTAATTTTTAGAATTCAGTAAATGCATGCTTCAAGTATTACTTTTCGGTTTCATTTATCGGCGCGTATTAGAGGGTTTAGACGCTACTTACTTAATTGAGACTGCCTCAGGGCTAAGCTTGTTGAGCTTAGTAGTATGTTGGTGGTGGAGGCGACGCATAGATGTAGGCCGGGGGAGGAGGCAATTTCACAGGTGGTGGAGGCGAGGTGTAATGGTAGGGAGGAAGAGGTGAGGGTGAAGGAGGTGGTGGAGATTTGTATACGTAGGGAGGAGGCGGCGATGGAGATGGTGGTGGGGGTGATTTGTAGAGGTAAGGAGGCGGCGCCGATGGAGATGGAGGTGGGGGTGATTTGTACATGTAAGGTGGCGGCGGCGATGGGGATGGTGGTGGAGGTGATTTGTACATGTAGGGAGGCGGTGGCGATGGGGATGGTGGTGGGGGTGATTTGTAGAGGTAAGGCGGCGGCGGTGGCAATGGAGATGGTGGTGGGGGTGATTTGTACATGTAAGGAGGCGGCGGCGATGGAGATGGTGGTGGTGGTGATTTGTATATGTAAGGTGGTGGAGGTGGTGATTTGTAGACATATGGGGGCAGTGGCGGAGATTGGTAGACGTAAGGTGGCGGTGGGGGAGATTTGTAGACATATGGGGGAGGTGGCGGTGGGGGAGATTTGGTAGACGTAAGGTGGCGGTGGGGGAGATTTGTAGACATATGGCGAGGGCGGAGGTGGTGGAGACTTGTACATGTAAGGCGGAGGAGGGGGAGACTTGTACATGTAGGGAGGAGGCAGTGGAGGAGACTTGTAGACATATGGGGACGGTGGGGGTGGGGGAGGAGATTTGTAAATGTAGGGTGGCGAAGGAGGAGACTTGTAGACGTAAGGTGGTGGCGGAGGGGACTTGTAAACATACGGGGATGGTGGCGAGGGTGGAGACTTGTAGATGTAAGGTGGTGGGGGAGGCGACTTGTAGACATAAGGCGAGGGCGGAGGTGGTGGAGACTTGTATATGTAAGGCGGAGGCGGGGGAGACTTGTACACGTAGGGAGGAGGCGGTGGAGATTTGTAGATGTAAGGCAGCAGTGGAGGAGACTTGTAGACATATGGGGACGGTGGGGGTGGGGGAGCAGATTTGTAAATGTAGAGCGGTAGAGGAGGAGACTTGTAGATGTAAGGTGGTGGCGGAGGGGACTTGTAAACATACGGGGATGGTGGTGGGGGTGGAGACTTGTAGACGTAAGTTTGTGGGGGTGGCGGCGGAGACTTGTAGATGTAAGGAGGCGGAGGAGGAGACTTGTAGACATAAGTGGGAGGTGGGGGTGGTGGAGACTTGTAGACGTAAGGCGGCGGAGGAGGAGACTTGGAGATGTATTTGGATGGTGGAGATGGGGGACTCTTGTAGACGTAAGGGCCGGGGGTTGGCTTGGTCTTCTTGCACTCGGGGTAAGGGGTCTTGGGAGCAAAAGCAAAGGAGTTGGTGGAGAGCACGACTTCGTAGTAAGCTTGGACTTGACGGAGAGCATGGCACCCTTAACACCGCCGTGCAAGTCGGTGGGGATAGGGCAAGGAGAATGCTCGGGTGCCGCGTGGAGCTTGGCGGTGCACGCCTTGGAGCCGTACTTGGTGTAGTCGAAGCCCGGGACGGTGACGCTGTATTTGCCGTTGATCTTGGTGGTTCCATAGGCCAAGATCTGCTTCTCACCGGCCTTGCATGTCACCTCCACCACGGCACCTGCTCCATTTATTCAAAAATAGTCAGAAAAAAATATACGTTATGCTAAATCAATAGTCAGCCAAGGGATGAAAGTATACTAAAACCATATGGTAATAGTATTTTGATCTACTCAAACAAAATTAGCTGCAATATAATTAAATTATACATATACATTAACATATATAAATGTTTTCCAACCTTTGAGGTGTTTCTTGTCGTGAGACTTGACAGGGTATCCCCAATCGTAGCACTTGTAGCAATATACTTTCCCGATAACCTTAACGACCAAGTGAGGATGATGATGGTGGACCGGCGGAGGAGGAGAAGCGTAGTAATAGGGTGCAGGAATATGTTTCGGAGGAGGAGGGGACTTGTAGTAGTAAGGTGGTGGAGGAGACTTCTTCGGTGGTGGTGGAGAGGTGTAGTAGTAAGGTGGCGGATGCGACTTCTTGGATGGTGGTGGGGATGTGTAGTAGTATGGTGGTGGAGGCGATTTCTGAGGTGGCGGTGTGGAGGTGTAGTAATAAGGTGGGGGAGGAGACTTCTTAGGGGGAGGCGGAGATGTGTAGTAATATGGTGGTGGAGGTGATGGGGAAGGCGGAGGTGGAGACTTTTAGTAGTAAGGTGGCGGATGCGACTTCTTGGATGGTGGTGGAGAGGTGTAGTAGTAAGGTGGTGGGGCCGACTTCTTAGGTGGCGGTGGGGAGGTGTAGTAGTAAGGCGGGGGAGGAGACTCCTTGGGGGGAGGCGGAGATGTGTAGTAATATGGTGGTGGAAGAGACGGTGAAGGCGGAGGAGGAGACGTGTAGTAGTATGGTGGCGGTGGAGACTTCTTAGGCGGCGGTGGAAATGTGTAGTAGTAAGGAGGTGGAGGTGATGGTGAAGGTGGAGGGGGAGACTTATAATAGTATGGAAGCGGGGGTGATGGAGATGGTGGTGGTGGAGATTTGTAGTAATAAGGTGGTGGTGGGGAAGGAGAAGGAGGTGGAGGGGACTTGTACATGTAAGGTGGCGGAGGGGATGGTGAAGGCGGGGGTGGAGACTTATACATGTAGGGTGGGGGTGGAGATGGTGAGGGCGGTGGGGGAGACTTATAGATGTACGGAGGAGGTGGAGATGGTGATGGTGGTGGCAGTGACTTGTAAACGTATGATGGAGGTGGAGAAGGGGAAGGTGGGGGTGGAGACTTGTATACGTAGGGTGGTGGGGGAGATGGCGAGGGTGGAGGCGGTGACTTGTAAACATAAGGAGGTGGCGGAGACTTGTACATGTATGCCGGTGGCGGAGATGGCAAGGGCGGCGGCGGAGACTTATAGACATAAGGAGGGGGAGATGGTGAAGGAGGGGTCGGGGACTCGTAAACGTATGGTGGGCGGAGGTGAAGGAGATGACGGAGGAGGAGAAGAGTAAGTGTAGTTACCGTTGGCAAGAGCAGACCCTACATTGCTCGAAACTACCGATATAGCCAGCGCCAAAGCCAGCGCCGACCAAAGACGGCCCCAGCCAGGGCCGCCGCCCAGATCCGTCATGGCCAAAAAGCCCGGTTGTCTTCCCAGAAGTATCTTGAAACTGGGCTTATCTTTCGAGAATGGGGGCAAGCGAAACCCAGGGAAGAGGAGAAGTGGCTTTTCGGTTGAGGGAGGAAGGGTGAGGACAGAGGGTACTTGTAGTGGGAAGCAGCGGGTGGGCAATAGCTGTCAAGGAGAGGACCGACTCAATTAGCATCATAGATTAATCAGTTCAACTGGCTTCTCAAGCTGGCCTCAAAATCCTTTGCCAAAGCCTCCACCGATTGGATCTTCATAAGTCGTTCAGGTTCAGCTTAAAGCATGAGTCGACCATTTCCAATTCAGAAGAAGCCATGGAAGCAACCAGAGAGAGATGTATGGTCTTGTGGGGTACTTGGGTTCCATTGCTATTATCTTAATGCACGTTATGTGCATATATAACGTCGCACGTTGTGGATGGAGAAGGTGGGCTTTTGTGCATTCTGCAAATTCATGTGCCGTTTCGTCAATGGGAATATTTCTCAGTCATGAGATGTGCATGTGGCATCCATGATTGGCCTGATGAGAGCTCTCCAGGAAATAGAAATTCATTTGATGGGAAGGTAAACGAGAGAGAGAGAGAAACAGAAAGGGATCACATCTATTTTGAGCTGAATTCGCTTTTTGTGAGGCTACATTGACATTCTGATTTTAAAGCTGAACATGCAGGATTCGGGAATATTGTTCGTTCAATCCTAAGTTTTTTGTACAGACGCCAATTTGATCCCAAACTTTCCAATTTTTGCCAATTTAGCCATAAATCTTTGCCCAAAATTCCAATTTAGCCATTTCGGAAATCGTTGACGTGGCAGTGTGCCACGTAGGATGGTCGGCGATGACTAAACCACCATGTGAGCAAATTCCCGCGAAAATTGACCTAAAGGACTATATTGAAATTTCACACAAAAGTTTAAGGCCAAATGAGCAAAATTGGAAAAATTAAGACCGAATTTGCATCCGTACAATGGGTTTAGGATTGATTGAGTAATTTTCCGTGTAGATTTCTATTATTCAAGTACAATTTTTTTTTCATGCTATCAAATTTCACTAATAAGTGTTGGTAGCTATCAAGAAACTATTGGTAGAAAACTGGAAGGGGACTTTTTTCAATCAACTTGTTGATATCTTATGAGCATTTTTATGAAATTAGAAACTAAGCAATTAATATACAAGCTTACCGGCTGTTCTCTACATAATTACTAACATTTCGATTTCTTTTTAACTCTTATAAAAAATTACCAACCTAAATTGGGGTGAGTTGCCAACTTTTCAGATATTAATTTACCAACTTATTTTTGGGTTGTCAACTATTTAATCAATTTAATTAATGTGATTAACCTCATTGTTCATATTAACTAGTATAAGTAATTCTTAGTAATTATCGAAGATGGTGAAATTAGAGGTAAGCATGTAGCTATATTCCTTCTACAGCCAGCGTGTGGAGGTTTAATCATATAGCTGTTTTGAGATTAATAGGAGCAGCTCCGATATAATAACGCCTATTTATCTAATTGTCAGGGGAGATTGGGAATGAGAAATGTGCAGCTTTGGAATTGAGTATGCATTCTAAAGAAGCTCTGGAACTTGCTGCTCCTATCTGGTTCTCTATGGATAGCCTGACTCATTGCTAAGGACCGTAGTACATGGCAGGTTGAGGCCAAACAGGATTGCATTTAAGCATGGAGAAAATTACTAAAGCGAAGGCATGTATTGAAACCTCGTGTGCAATTCACTGTGGGGAATGGGAAAGCTATATCTTTGTGGTTTGAAAACTGGCACCCTTTGCAAATCTTTTTGAACAGACTTCCCTTTTGGATTCTATTATGACTAAAATATTCAAAACAATGCTAAGGTGGCTGCAGTGATAGATGGTAATGATTGGAGCTGGCCTTCTCCTAAATCTGAGCATCTTCTAATTGTTCAAGTACTTATATGTGGAGTTATATTCTTAGATCCGATACTGAGGAGAAGACGAAGTTTCCAGGGGCTCACCTGGGAAGTTCAACCAAAACGAAGCATGAAAGTTATTTAGGGCCCGTTTGGCAACTTGCTAAATAGTAAAATTTTTTGTTCTTTTGTTCTCAGAATCAGTTTGGGAACAGAAATCCGTTTATTAAATTTTTTGTGCTCGGGCACAAATTTGCAAAAAATTATTTCCATAATCAGTTTTGGAATGGAATCAAGAAGTAAAAAAAAGTAGCTTCTTAATTCTGGAACAATTTTTTGCACTTCTAATTCTTCTTGGTTTTTTTCTTTTTTCTTGGTTTGTTCTTCTTCTTCTTCCCGGCCTGCCGCCGGCCACCGGCCACAGGCCAGGGTCGGTGAGGGCGTCGCGGCAGCGATGGCGAGGCCTTGCTCAGTTATGTCGAGGCCGACCTTGCTGTTGTGACCGGCGAGGGCCGTGACGCCTTCGTCGGCCCTGGCCTGTGGCCGGTCGCTGGTGCCGATGGCCGGCCATGGCCAAGGAAGGGAAGGAAAAAAAAGGAAAGGAACATTAAAAAATTCAAAATATTATTAATAAAAAGAAATTTTGTGTAGTTACCAAACACATTCCTATTTTTATTCTATTCTAAGAATATAAATTTTGAGCAGTTACCAAACCCTTTCAAATGCTTAGAAATTGTTCTCGGGCACGGAATAAAAAAGAATCATTTCTGAGCAGAATTAGTTTTCGGGTACAGAATCGTTGTCATGCACACTCTTAGCCCCAAACGTCCTAAGGTCCAATGGCACAAGCTCACCTGGTTTATTGCTTGGCTTACTATTCTAAACAGATTGCAGACCAGAGATAGAATTAGGAGGTGAGTGCTTATTATGCAAGCAGGGACCTGAAACAAGAGAGCATCTGTTCTTTCAATGCTCTTTTGCAAAGCAGAGGAGAGAGTAATATTTCTGCTCTGTTTAAATTAGAAAAGCTTTGGCTACGAATCTAGAATTCTCTTGGCCCCTTACTTCCTTTAATGGAAAGAGTTTGAAGGTGGGGCTAATGAATCTTGGTTGGAGTTTTTCCATCAATTATATTGGGAAGGAAAGAAATAGGGTAGTTCATGATCAATGTGCTCCCCAAATTGGCAGAGTTATTGATGAGATACCCTTCTCTGTTTGTACTATACATGAAAGCGCGATATATGGTAGAAGGATTCGAGTGCCCGCAGATATCAAGGCTATATGTAGCAATTTGGAGAATTATATGTCAAAAGCTGTACTTCTGAGTTTGTAATGGAACCTCAGTTGATAGGTTGATGATGAAATTCCAGGTGCAAGACTGGTGTATGCTTTTATGACATTCTTGCTTTGATAAATTTCGTTGTTCTCTTCCTCATAGACGTAGAGGAATTGAGGGACACTGGGTTAGCTTCTACGTTGGGTTTTGGGTCTGCTGGGTATAGTTGCATTAGGTTCGGGCTGAGCCTATTGGCTCTTTGGGTCTATCTAGGATGTGTTGAGTTGATATTTGGGCTTGTATAGGAGGTGGCCATCCCATCTTTTGGTATTGTGCAAAGGATTAACACAAGGAAAAACCTTAAATAAATATATCTATAATAAATTTATCAAAAATTAATTTTTTTGACCACGAAAAACTCCAAACTGGTAAACATGTGATAAATTTACTCCAAAATAATCTTTTAGTATTGTGCAAATAAAACTATTTACTTACCAAAAACAATGAATCTACTTCTCAACATTTGAATAGGAGTTTTGGATTTAAAATAAAATCAAAGTGCGTGAGCGGCAAAAATTAGATTAAGTCAAAAAAATAAAAAAAATAAAAGTCAAACAGACATGCCCTATGATTCCTTTTCTATTGTTTAGATAAATTGAAACAATTCAACTAAATATTGATAAGTAACTCAAATGAGAGTTAATAGTCCAAAATTAATTGATAATTTAATTTGAAAAGGGTTGGTAAGTCACTCAATAAAAAATATTAATAAATCCATACAAGAGTCGGTAGATATAAGGCGTTAATAAAAAAGACAAATGAAATTTGGTAAAGGATAAAAAATTTGGTAACTTGCAAACTGTCAGAAAGATTATTTATTTTCTAAAATTATCTGTAAGTTACCAAACAAAAAGAGTGATTAATAATCTGTTTTTACTAACGGTCTTTTAACATATACAATTTTAGATAGGGATAATGACACAAACAGTTCTTGAACTTTGGCATAATGTGCAATTTGATTTATAAACTTTTAATTTATTCAATGTAGTCCTTGAACTTTAGCCTAATATTCAATGTGATCCCTGAACTTTTAATTTATTCAATTTGGTCCCTAAATTTTTGGTACATGTTCAATTTAGTCCATAAACTATATGAAAATGTTTAATGTAATCCATAAACTTGAATTAATGGAAGGACTACATTGAACATTTTCATATAGTTCATGAGCTAAATTGAACATACACCAAAAGTTTAGGGACCACATTGAACATTAAGCTAAAGTCCAAGAGCTACATTGAACAAATTAAAAGTTCAGAGACTAAATTGCACATTGGGCCAAAGTTCAGGGACCGTTTATATATCTACCATCACGAAATCAAAATCTTTTTTTCTAGGACAGAACAATTTAATCGGCCCCCATCTTATAGTTTAGGCTCGGCCAGATCTCAATAACTTATGCGTATGTACTTGATAGATCACAAGTACTGGTCCAATATGACAGAGAAGAAGCAATGGAAAAGACAGTAGTCGTTAAATCAATCAATTTATGTTTATTGCTAGATGGAATTTTATTCAAGAACAAGAGGATCGAACAAACAAATGAAGGGAGTAGTCCAAATCAACATGAGGTAGTACACGCACATGGCAAATGAATGAGATTACATCCTAGTAAGGTCACGAGTATTAATATAGAAAAGGAAAAACACAAGCAAAGCGAGATCGGCAAATCCTGCACCCTGTTTTATCAAGGCATGCTCCGACCGTTTCTTTTCCAGTCCCATCTGAAAGTAATGTGAGCAGAAGTTGGAAGATCACAATCAAAGAGGCGAAAGCAATCTGGCGATCCATTTCCACTCGGCGGCTCTTGAACGATGGATCTTTGAGACCCTTATTCGATGAAACTTGATTGAAATTGATGATCGGTTCTTGCACCCATATCACCCTCTTTTATTACACTCTTGAAACTAGAACCTGCATTCGAATTGGATCAGTGAGATTAAATTTTAGAATTCAGTAAATGAATGTTTGAAATATTGCTTTCTGGATACATTTATGGGCGCATGTTGGGGGGTTTAGACGCTACTTACTTTAATTGAGACTGGCCCGTGGCTAAGCTTCTTGAGCTTAGTAGTATGTTGGTGGCGGAGGCGACGCATAGATGTAGGCTGGGGGAGGAGGCGATTTCACAGGTGGCGGCGGCGAGATGTAATGGTAGGGAGGAGGAGGTGAGGGTGAAGGAGGTGGTGGAGATATGTATACGTAGGGAGGAGGCGGCGATGGAGATGGTGGTGGGGGTGATTTGTAGAGGTAAGGAGGTGGTGGCGATGGTGATGGTGGTGGTGGTGATTTGTATATGTAAGGTGGTGGTGGTGGTGATTTGTAGACATATGGGGGTGGTGGCGGAGATTGGTAGACGTAAGGCGGCGGTGGGGGAGATTTGTAGACATATGGGGGCAGTGGCGGAGATTGGTAGACGTAAGGCTCCGGTGGGGGAGATTGGTAGACATATGGGGGTGGTGGTGGTGGGGGAGATTTGTAGATGTAAGGCGTAGGCGGGGGAGACTTGTACACGTAAGGAGGAGGCGGTGGAGATTCGTAGATGTAAGGCGGCGGTGGAGGAGACTTGTAGACATATGGGGAAGGTGGGGGTGGGGGAGGAGATTTGTAAATGTAGGGCGGCGGAGGAGGAGACTTGTAGACATAAGGTGGTGGCGGAGGGGACTTGTAAACATATGGGGGTGGTGGTGGGGGTGGAGACTTGTAAATGTAAGTTGGTGGGGGTGGCGGAGGAGACTTATAGATGTAAGGAGGCGGAGGAGGAGACTTGTAGACGTAAGTGGGAGGTGGGGGTGGTGGAGACTTGTAGACATAAGGAGGCGGGGGAGGAGACTTGTAAATGTATTTGGATGGTGGAGGCGGGGGACTCTTGTAGACGTAAGGGGCGGGGGTTGGCTTGGTCTTCTTGCACTCGGGGTAAGGGGTCTTGGGAGCAAAAGCAAAGGAGTCGGCGTAGAGCACGACTTCGTAGTAAGTCTTGGACTTGACGGAGAGCTCGGCACCCTTAACGCCGCTGTGCAAGTCGGTGGGGATGGAGCAAGGAGAATGCTCGGGCGCCGCGTGGAGCTTGGCGGTGCACGCCTTGGAGCCGTACTTGGTGTAGTCGAAGCCCGGGACGGTGACGCTGTATTTGCCGTTGATCTTGGTGGTTCCGTAGGCCGTGATCTGTTTCTCACCGGCCTTGCATGTCACCTCCACCACGGCACCTGCTCCATTTATTAAAAAATAGTCAGAAAAAATATACGTTATGCTAAATCAATAGTCAGCCAAGGGATGATATATTCTATATTAAAACCATATTGTAATGGTACTTTGATTTACTAAAACAAAAATGAGCAATGATATAATTACGTTATACATGTTATATATATATATATATATATATATATATATATATATATATATATATATATATATATTTGTTTACCAACCTTTGAGGTGTTTCTTATCGTGGGATTTGATAGGGTATCCCCAATCGTAGCACTTGTAGCAATACACTTTCCCGACAACCTTAACGACCAAGTGAGGGTGAGGAACATGTTTCGGGGGAGGAGGGGACTTGTAGTAGTAAGGCCGTGGAGGAGACTTCTCGGGTGGCGGGGGGGATGTGTAGTAGTAAGGTGGAGGAGGCGATTTCCTAGGTGGTGGTGGGGAGGTGTAGTAGTAAGGCGGGGGAGGAGACTGCTTAGGGGGAGGTGGAGACGTATAGTAATATGGTGGTGGAGGCGATGGGGAAGGCGGAGGAGGAGACTTGTAGTAGTATGGTGGTGGAGGAGACTTTGTAGGCGGCGGTGGAGACGTGTAGTAGTAAGGAGGTGGAGGTGATGGTGAAGGCGGTGGGGGAGACTTATAATAGTATGGCGGCGGCGGCGATAGTATGGCGGCGGCGGCGATGGAGATGGTGGTGGTGGGGATTTGAGAAGGAGGGGGAGGGGACTTGTAAATGTAAGGTGGCAGAGGGGATGGTGAAGGTGGAGGCGGAGAGTTGTACATGTAGGGCGGTGGTGGAGATGGTGAGGGCGGTGGGGGAGATTTATAGACGTATGGAGGAGGCGGAGATGGCGATGGCGGAGGCGGTGATTTGTAAACATATGGAGGAGGTGGAGAAGGGGAAGGTGGGGGTGGAGACTTGTATACGTAGGGTGGTGGGGGAGGTGGCCAGGGTGGCGGCGGGGACTTATAGACATAAGGAGGAGGGGGATCCGGAGAAGGAGGGGGTGGGGACTTGTAAACGTAAGGAGGCGGCAGTGAAGGAGACGGTGGAGGAGGAGAAGAGTAAGTGTAGTAATCATCGGCAAGAGCAGACCCTACATTGCTGGAAACTACCGTTATAGCCAGCGCCAAAGCCAGTGCCGACCAAAGACGACCCCTGCTGGGGCCGCCGCCCAGATCCTTCATGGCCGAAAAGCCCAGTTGTCTTCTCAGAAGTATCTTGAAACTAGTTCTATCTTTCTAAGACAATGATAAGGGAAGCTCGGAGAAGAGGAGAAAGTGGCTTTTCGGTTGAGGGATGGTAGGGCGAGGGCAGAGAGCATTTATAGCGGAAGCAGCAGGGTGGGCAATAGCTGTCCAGAAGAGGTCCAATTCAAATTTGCATCATTAGATTAATCAAGTAAAACGGCTTCTTCTCTAGCTGGCCTCAGAGTCCTTTTTTTAAAATGCCACCGATTCAGCTTATAGAATGAGTCGACCATGGCCTCGACATTATACAAAGAAAGAAGGGAGGGAGGAGTCGACCGTTTCCGAGGTCAAGAAGGCATTGAAGCAATCAAAGATCTCTCTCTCTGGCTTGCACGGCAATTGGGAGTTCCATGGCCATTATCTTAATGCACGTTGTCAGCATACAATACGATGCACGCACGTTCGTCGCTGCCCTGCACTTGGCTTTCGTGCAGTCTGCAATTTCATGTGCTTTTTGTCAATCGGGAATAGTTCTCGAGTTGTGAGAGGGCCATGCATGTGGCGTCCACATGATTGGCCTCACAGCTCTCCATAGTGTATTCCATTTCATGAGAAAGTAAACGAGTGAGAGACAGGGACAGAAGAGAGAGATCACATCTGTTTTCAGCTGAATTTGCGTTTTGGGAGACTATAATGCAGGCTGGTTCTGAAGCTGAACATGCAAAACTCCATTATCAAAAAGTATTGGTAAGTGTCAAGAAATTATTGGTTAAAAATTGACCGGTGATTTTTTGAGAAAACTTATTGGTAACTTACCATCGCTTTTCTGAAATAACCTACATTTCTTTATAGTTCGCAGATTAGCAAATGATTAACTAATTTACCGACTTTTACTTACATAACTTACTTACATTTTGTTTCCACCGAATTCTTATATACACTTACCAGCCTAAATTACACCGACCCACCAGCTTTTCACGGATTAAATTACTAGCTTATTTTTAGGTTGTCAGCTTTCTTTTAAGTTACTTACTATTGCTCAATTGTTTTTATCAGCTTTTCTGTGGACTGATCAACTTTTATTTACCAACCCATTATATTTACTAACTCTTTGTAGAGATTACCAACCAAAATTGTTGTGACTCGGCAACTATTTCTCCGATTGAATTATCACCTAGTTTGGGTTACCAATTCTCACTCGAGTTATATATCAATATTAATCTATTTACTTTTAATTTGTCGACTACTCTTATCGTTCAAAATTTTTTATTTATATTTCTTAGTAATAACTTTAATTTACCAAGTCTTTTTAGTAGTTACAAATAAAAATGACTAATCTACTTTTCTTCAACAAATTTACCAACTAGTTATGGATTATCAACTCTCATTTCATTTATTTACCAAGTTTATTTTTGTTACTAACTTTTCTTATCTTATACCAACTTCTGATCACCTTTCTTAACTACGCCTTAAATTCAACCGCATATGAAATTACTAATTGTAATTTAATTTATTCATCAACTTTTTATCAAATTAAGTTATCAATTGGTAAACTTAAGATATCGGTAAGAAAGCCAAATGAAAGTTGTTGAAATATAAGAAATGTTTGCAATTTGCATGCGGTGAAAAAGAGTTAATAATCGCATAAAAATGTCAGTAAGTGACCAATAAGGTACTGAGAAATCGGGCAACTAGTAATTTTTTTTACCAACATTTTTTTACGCTTACCAACTGCATCAAAGATTTACGTGAACGGAAAAAAAATCGTCCTATTAGGCTCTATTTATTTCACGGAAAATGGATGATTTCGAAAACATTTTCCTAAAACAATCGTTTCTATCTATTGAAATAATTATTTAACGAGAAATATTGTATCTTAAAATTTTTGTGGACAATGAAGATATTTGTCGTCTGTTCGTTTTTATATGCAATACAGGCGATCCTTTTTAGGAAAATATTTTTCAAATCACTCATTTTTCGCAAAACAAATAGGGCCATGAATTTCCTATCTTTTCTTTTATCTACAAGTGAGTTTTGGCCAATTTCTCAATGTCGGAATCTATTACAAACAAACAACAAACCTTCATCCCTCCCTCTATACAATTGCATATTAGAACAATACCCCAAGGTCTACAAATTTCTCAAGCTCGTGTTGATTTATATCTCTATATCTTATAATCCCCTTAACTTATATCTTAACATCTTTCTTATCTCCACATGGAGCATCATTTGCTATAACACGCACATGCACATGCGGAGACAGTTAGGATGGAAAAATTGAAAGACACCCGCTACGGAATTGGCCATGTGGAAGCAAACAACTCATTTAATACGAGTGCAACATCAACATTCGAGAGGTTAAGAGAGGTGTTATCTTACTCGATGTCAGGGGAATGATTCTGCAGATGCATGTCCACAGGGCCTGCCTTGCTGAAGTCAACCATACACTTGAAGTTTAATCATGTCCGGCATGACAGCAAATGACCGCACTAGAATTAGAACAGTCTTGAGGGTTTTAGACGAAGCTGCACGTTATTCTGTTCTTTGCAAGACCCGTTCGCTTCCACCTCCTAAAGTTAACCAAAAAGATGAATTGGGAGAAGCACTCTCTATAGGGAAAGTACGGAAAGCCCTCGCGATCTGCAGATGTGATCCTCTTTGCCTCCCTCTAGTTCTAGAATTATGACTATTACATCCTTGGGGTAACATGTCATGAGGAGAGAGTCTTATGCTAGCCTTCGTTCAGAATAAAATAAGGGAAGAACACCCTATTTCCCCAGTCGTTACACAAGCCATGATCTGTCTCTCCTCTATAGGTAGTGCTATCCTAGGACGCTGCCTCCTCCTCCTTCGTTGCCTGGGGAGGTGCTGCCCCTCGGCCTCCTTCCCTTAGTCATCGGCTTCTTTCCCTCTCTGCATGTGCATGCGTATGGGTATGTGCGTGCGCGTGTCGCTTCAATGACGACATTGAGAAGGTCGCGACCTCTGATCAGTCTCGCTACAGCACGACACAAGTCCCTGAGCTTGAGAGGGGGAGGCGCGGGGATGGTGGCGTCGCGGTTGTGGCTGCCATGATCGAAGCGATGTTGTTGGGACACGCAGTGAAAGCAATGGCCATAGCAACTACAGTAGTCGCTTTACGTTGAGAGAGAAAGAGAGCATGATTTTAAGCAACGTTGAATGCTAAAGCTCAATAACATTCCCCATTATATTTATTAGAAAGTCCAGTTCAAAAACTTAAAATGATATATGGAGAGAGATCACATGTATATAAAAAATATTTAGACCACATAGTCGAGGGATGTAGCATATTTCAACATCCCCTCATGTGCAAGCCCGATTATGAAATGACATGTGAAATTTGACGAATAGGGTGGACGCGCACATAAAACAAACTAGAGCAAAACTTGACTCTAGTAATCATGTGAGATTTTATAGGACGATTGCCAACCGTTCTAAAAGTTTAAGCCGTTAGACGAAAGCATGGGTTAATATTTAAATATTATAACAATATTAATTGGAGAGAAATACATGATACAAAGTAAAATTACGCGCTATACCGACTACATTCCTTCGGCAAAAACGAAATTCCGTCCAACCTGTTTCAGATTTTAAAAGAAAAGACTTGATACTCCATAATGATAAAAATGCCGTTCTATCATTTTGATTCATAATCTTGGACTCAATAGTACGAGTAAAATGGATATGCTTGCTAATCACTCCAAATAACAAATGAATTTTAAAAAAAGCGGGTCGTATTCAATACCGAATTAGAATTCACGGCATGAGTTAATGAATAAAATAGGTTGTGATTGAGCCTTTATTAATGATTATTGGAAACATTCAAAAGTCCACTTAGCAATGCAATGGGAAGGAGCCGATCTTTTCCTCTCGAATCGGATCACGTTCATATCTCTGTTGCGATGCCCTATCACCCGTCATCAGTGCACCGCATCGCACGGATCAAAATCAGGTTGGAATTTTCTCTCAATTAAATCTCTTGAAGATTGCAATTAGATAGCCAAATCAAGATCCGCATATCCTTGGAACACGGGGTTGATTGGACAATTTCAAGTGACATTATTGCAACATCGAATTCATTATATTCTCCCAGGAATGTAATGTAATGTTGTTGTGGTGAACGTGCTCTGATTTATATATTATCGGATTGATGATAATATCTTTTGCCAGTCATGTAAAGTCAAATAGAACATACTCTAATAAATATATGTATATATATGTGTGTGTGTTTCTCCCAATATCCCATCCAACTGTCGGTGGGTAATGGAGTAGAAAGACAACGTCTTGCCTGTACATAACCCAAATGGTCCCAAAATATAGCCTAATTTGCTTACATTCACATCCATTATCCAAGAACTTTAATTTGACAAGAAAATAAGAGGAACCTTTTGATATGTCCACCATAACCAACACAACACCATACTCTTTCGTTGGCTAGTCTGTTGACTTTTCTCTTCTTTTCTCTTTTCTCTTTTCTCTTCACTTCCGGATAGATGATTAAATCAAAAGAGGACGATAATCCCCATATCAGAAATAGCTTACTACGCACAATTTTTTTATAAAAAAAAGACCCGAAGAAAAATCAGTTCTCTTTCGATGTCATTTCTCTATCGAGGGAAAATACCAACGAACCCAAAGTTGACATTGTTCTCCTTTATTTAAAGAGCTTCAACTTGTCAAGAAACTTGCTAATCGATCCTTTTTAAGGGGGCTTGTAACCCCCCACCCTTTGAGCCTTATTATGTCCAGATGCAACTTTGGTGTGCCCATCAAGCTGTAGTTAATTTAATGAAGTCATCTTTTTCTGAAAAAAAAATAAAATAAAAATCATTTTTCAATGGGAATTCGCCCCGCCAACGCCCCGCTTCTAGTACGAGGCGGGGCAGGGGACGGTGCGGCCATCTTGCATGGGCAAGGTGCCCACGAGGCCCTACTCGGAGCCTGCCCCGCAATACATGGAAATTCAAGCAATATTTGAAAAGATATCGATGCATATATTGCTCTTTTTAACATAAGCAACAATTCAAAAAAAAAATATTTACAATTGTTTAAATCTTAACATCAACTACTCACAATATAAATAACAATATATATTGGTTAAATCATGAGCGATACAGATAATCTATTGGTTAATATTTTGTGCTTATTTAGCCAACCGGGCCAATTTCTATATATT